GCTGTAACGTATCAATAAGTACTTTTTTGTTCTTTGTAATTTTTAGTATAATGAATTTCATGTGACTTCATTTTAACATTATTCTAACACATATTTTCCCATCATCCATTTTGAAAATTCTGTTTTTACTGTTACTGAACCGCAAGAGTGGAAACAAGAAATAGTCATAAAAAAATAGTTCAAAACAGGCTAAATATGGGGTTCAAGAAAGTATAAAACTTCAATATTTCCTGAAAACATTCCTTTTTGAGTTGTGCCTTTTTAATTCTGAATGTGCGATATTTACACCATCCAAATCTTAATTTTAATTTTCTAATTAACTTATCGACCAAGTTTGGAGGCTTGCTCTTTCTGAAATATCCTCACGTCCCAAGTAACATTTTCTCATCTGTATTTTTCAACGCAAACAGTTTGTGACAAACTTTCACCACCACCCACGAACACACAGATGGAATGACCGATTTTATGATTTAATTTTCTTCCGCTCCAACCTATATCTCTGAGAATCATAAAATATTTACCTTTCTGTTTCAGATTGCTCCGGCAGCAAAAAAGCTGTGGGGTCTCGAATCGAAGGACGCTTCCAGCAAATTGGTCCTGAATCATTTGAACCACGAAGGCGTTTGGAGAGATCCTACATGGGCGGCACCTGGTGAGTCATCATTTATTTAACGCTATTCTGTACGTGAGCTTTTTTAACGTACTCTTTGTAAGTCGTCGACGAATATGGAAAGAACCCATAACCCGGAACGCTTTCTCGTTCGATTGTCGGGTAGACAGGGCCGGGCTTGATTGAATGTTTACGGAGATAATGGGTTTGATTGACAGGGAAAGTTGAGTTTTAATATTTTCATCAACAGCTGGCATTTACATCTGACATATACAGAGTGGGCTAGCGAAAACGTACCGCCAAGGAAATAATTACTGTATTTTGAAAAAAATACCTTTGTAATACCTTTGTAAGGCTATATTCAATTTTTTTGTGGGATTCGTAATGATTATAACATACTCTGTGTTCAAGAATGTCAATGCGTAAATTGATAACTAGAATTTGGAACCTCTGGCGTGAAATAAATCTATTGAAAACTATAGCAAAAACTGAGGTCATCTTTTTCCTGAAGGATTCAAGAATCCTACATTGTAGATGAACAAATAAAACATTTTTTCATAAAGTAAATTTAATTGACTACATTTCATAGTTGACTATGTTTGTAGCAAGTGATTTACAATCAGGACTGGGGGTCATACATATTGGACAACTAAACATTTTAAAATATATCATGACTACAGTAATATTCTAACAATATCTAGCACAAACTAAAAATAAAAAAGAAATCGGTTATAAAAACTTGAATAACCATTCCCAAGTTCAGGATACGAAAGTATGTTCTAAATATTAATTGTCAGAGTAGAAGCAGTATTTCAGAAGATATTTTTATTGTTTTTTTATACATTGACTGAGAATCCTGCAGGAAGACAATTACACAAATTATAGTCAACATTTTTTTTCAGATTTGGTCAGACGAATCGATTGTTTGGAAGGTATTAGCATTCTACATGTACATTTGACTCTCTGATCATGGAATTGGGCTTTTTGTGAATTTCAACTGAAACTGAAAATATGTATAATGTCGGCAATGACATTATTTTAGAATTATTTAGAAGGCGTTGGCAAAGATCTTCATAATAAATAGAGTAATAATTTGTATAATCTCCCTTTTGAACCCTTAAATATTTGCAGCACCTGTAGAATTTTCCCAGAAAACGACACCGTAGCCTATAGAAGAGTGGAAGAAAGAGGTTGTTTTTCAAATGTGGGGCCTATTTATTTTTGTCATTTGCCGTAAAATACAATAGTTGAACATTATTTACTTTTCAACTAGTATGTCTTTCAAGTCAAGTTACTAAAGTTATTCCCAATAATTTTAGATTATCCACTACGCACACATAGTACGCACAAATAATTGCTAATTTTGTGTTTCAACTGTATTTAATTTTAATTTGTTTCTTATGAACCAACTTTCTACCATATTATTCACTTCATCAGTTGTCCTTGACAGATTAGCGCTGTCTTTCCCTGAGATAATAATCGTGGTATCGCCAGCAAACTGATTTGTAAGTTTGCATACAAACTTGAAGCCGTCTCCATAATTTATTATCACCTTCAGATGTTAAAACGGTAAAACCATCAATTAGTACATGTTTCTATTCTAATCTATATAGGTTCATCATCAGCTAATTATTTAAAAATTCTACAATAAAAGAACAACATAACAGTAGTTAATACAATGAAGTATAAAATACTTACAAGGAGAAGAAAATGTTTATAAAGGAGAAAAGAAAAATCACATGTTACCAATGAATAATTGGTAACAATGACATGTTAATAGTAATGAAAATTTTATATTTACTAATACGAAGGAAGTTTATAACATTCCAGCTATAAATGACTGAAGTATGGGAGGCTTAGAACCATTATACCCACTAATTACCATCAAAATAAAAAAAAACACATGAAAACGAATTCTAATGAAAGATATCCTAACTGAATTGGATGAGAAAGGAGAATCGGCTGTCAAAAATATATAAAGAAATGAATTCGAAATGACATGGAACAGTGACAAGAGACCTGCAAACACAGAACACAACAGAAGAAGAATCACCACATACATATCAACTCATGTTCTGAGCAAACAGATTCCATACCATCTAAACATGCCAGCTTGTTACAATAATTTGTAAAAGTAATCCTATGAGTTGAACTGTGAGATCAGTAAGGTTGGTAGAACAATTGTACAGATCAGCGCCATCATGCGAGACATCTATTGCCCATAATAATTAATAAAATACGGGTTTATGGAAGATCAAGGCAGGGGGAATGTAGTTGATATTAAGGGATTTGAAAAATTTTTGGCAATCAAATTGTGTTTGACAGGCTAGACAAAGTTAAAACTTTCGTTTACATATAATGAATATTAAATGACCCACATACTGATCCTCGGGGAATCCCATGTTCAACAGGTGTATATTCCAATATTGAATTACTGCAGTTTATTGTTTACTATCACCGGACTAAGTACATAGCGCATGTGAGTCTTCATAGTGAAAGAAACATTTTTTGTTATATTTTCATGAAATAATAATATTTATCATGTCATTTAATGCATCAAATTAAAAAAATAAGTAGTATAAAACAAGATATTACTTGATNTGAAGTATGGGAGGCTTAGAACCATTATACCCACTAATTACCATCAAAATAAATAAAAAAACACATAAAAACGAATTCTAATGAAAGATATCCTAACTGAATTGGATGAGAAAGGATAATCAGCTGTCAAAAATATATAAAGGAATTAATTCGAAATGACATGGAACAGTGACAAGAGACCTGCAAACAAAGAACACAACAGGAGAAGGATCACCACATACATATCAACTCATGTTCTGAGCAGATTCCATACCATCTAAACATGCCAGGTTGTTACAATAATTTGTAAAAGTAATCCTATGAGTTGAACTGTGAGATCAGTAAGGTTGGTAAAACAATTGTACAGAGCAGCGCCACCATGCGAGATATCTATTGCCCATACATGGAATGAAGAAAAGGTTTCAAACTACTGGAGCAGATCACCAAACAACTGTACAACCATACCAATGAAATTAATAAAATACGGGTTCATGGAAGATCAAGGCAGGGGGAGAATGTAGTTGATATTAAGGGATTTGAAAAATTTTTGGCAATCAAATTGTGCTTGACAGGCTAGACAAAGTTCAAACTTTCGTTTACATATAATGAATATTAAATGACCCCCATACTGATCCTCGGGGAATCCCATGTTTAACAGGTATATATTCCATTATTGAATTACTGCAGTTTATTGTTTACTATCACCGGACTAAGTACATAGCACATGTGAGTCTTCATAGTGAAAGAAACATTTTTTGTTAGATTTTCATGAAATAATAATATTTATCATGTCATTTAATGCATCAAATTAAAAAAATAAGTAGTATAAAACAAGATATTACTTGATTGCTTACCCCATTTGAGACTTGGGGAAAGGTGAAAGTCACACGTTTGACAATATACCTTCATGAAGACATCCTTCTCATAATAAAAGTAAAAGTCTGTTCATTTTCTGAACACTGAAACTGTATATTCCATAAATGCAATTAACAACAACCTGGACCATCCTGAGACCTTTTTTTGTGAAATTACTAGGCAAATTTTGTTGAATTCTGCAACTTATACCTACTGTTGCAAAAAGGTCTCATTTACTTTTTCCAAATATACGACTTTCATCAGACTAACTAATCATCTATCATACGAGAACTGTTCGGAAAGTAATGAAATGATGTTCAGGTAGAAAAATTTATACATAGGGTCTTTCATTAAGCTCTTCCTACCTTCAAATTTAAATAAAACAAAGTGTGTGTGAAATATCAACAAAATTTTTTATTCGTTTGAAAGACTTATCGATGCCATTAGTGGAATATAAAATCATTCAAGTGTCCGCCACGGCTTCTCTGGGTGGAGAGCATCGGAAACGTCCAATTTTCCAGGCTGAATTTGACCGATGGCATGGGTTATTTTTCTCTTTGAAGACCTTATTCGCATACACCTGCGACTTAAGTAAACTCTGCAAGAAAAAGTCTAATGGGGTCAAATCGCTCATGCAGAATATCCAATGTGGCATGAGCTTTATTGCACGTAGCGTCGTCCTGATGAAATCACATGTCGTTGGTATCCAGATCATCCAATTCAGACCAAAAGAAGTTGGTAATCATCGACCTATAGTGCTTGCCATTGACAGTGATGGCCTGGCCAACGTCGTTCTCAAAGAAATACGGACCGATGACGCTCGCTGCCAACCGAAAATCCACACCAAACAGTGACTTTTTCGGGATGCAGAAATGACTCTCATCGCTGAAGATGATTTTTCGATAAAAATTTGGATTAGTTGCCAACTGCTCCAAAACCCATTCAGCGAACAAACTTCGTTGTCTATGTAGAAAGTTGTACGGGTGCAGACCCTAGTCATGACGCAAAATTTGCCAAGTTGTGGTATATGAGCAACGCGAAATCGACTGCTTCGTATCATCCTGCACACTCTCACAGACAGCGGCGATTTTTCGGCAGATCTTGCGTTTCGTCGACGTACGGGTGTTGGTCGATTGTTTACTGAACCAGTGGACTTAATTTAACCACCACATTGTGAATAGTCTTCTCGGTAGGACGATTATGGCGACCGTAAAATAGGCAAAGCACGCGGTACGTTGCCCGAACAGAACACTAATTTTGATAAAAAAAAATTATTATTTGTACGTGTTGTTGAATGCTACATCCGTCCATGGTGATTTGGCAAAACAGACTGAATAAATGACAATTTGACAGGTGTATCGTCAATAAGATAGCCGTTATCACTTGTCAAGTTCCTGTTGGAAAACACTTTAGTTTTCCAAATACTGTCCTTTATCAAAGTAATCCCCTTTGTTTCTAATTTGTTTCTTCCAGCGCTTTTTACGTTGAAACACGAAGGCTAATCCTCATTGTCCAAAATTCATAAACCTACCACCGTCACCAACATTTGTCCGTGTCGCTATCTCTGCTCGGGGAGGACGCGGTGCGGGCTCGGTGCGGTTATGTGT